GGCGAAATTGTTAGACATGCATTTCTGCATAACTTGAGATATCAGACAACTGGACAAGACAGCTCCAGGAACCTCAGATAAGCTCTCTAGATTTGTGTATAATTCTGGCCAGTGTTTTCATAAATTTAGTTAGTGAGGTTTTTCTGAGTATGATACAACTTAATATCCAGTCAAATTGGTGAGTGATATTAAGATATATTTTCCTTCTGTTATGTAATTGTGTATATATATAACCATTTATTATTTTTAATATACAGTCCACGAATTTATATATTTACCAGTATTCCTGGTGTATGTATATTTCATTTAATTAATAGGTCCAGAGCAACTTGTGGATATGACAGTGGTAGGTATAGAAGGGGGACATTTTTGCGACCTAGGTGTCCCAAATTCCTACTTGTCTATGTAACTCTGATAAATAATAATTATCTTTGTTATCATTTTCTGTTATGTATATAATGAGTTACATTCAGATAAATGCAATTTTCCACATAAGCAACTATTGGCAGAAAGGCAGACTGGTGCAAGTATGAGTAGTAGGGGGGTTGAAGAGGGTTGGAATAGTCTTAAAAATGCAGTATTAGAATGTGGGGCAGAAGTTTGTGGTTATAGGAGGGTGGTTGCAGGAGGAAGGAGGAGTGATTGGTGGAATGATGCAGTAAAGGGTGTGATAAAAGAGAAAAAGTTAGCTTATGAGAGGTTTTTACAAAGCAGAAGTGCTATAAGAAGAGTAGAGTATATGGAGAGTAAAAAAAGTTGAAGAGAGTGCAAAAGGAGAGCAGATGATAGAGTGGGAGAGGCAGTGTCAAGAAATTTTAATGAAAAGAAGAAAATTTTTTAGAGTGAGTTAAACAAGTTAAGAAAGCCTAGAGAACGAATGGATTTGTCAGTTAAAAACAGAGTAGGGGAGTTAGTAGATGGGGAGATGAAGGTTTTGGGTAGATGGCGAGAATACTTTGAGGAACTTTTAAATGTCGACGAAGAAAGGGAAGCAGTAATTTCATGCACTGGCCAGGGAGGAATACCATCTTTTAGGAACAGGATGTGAGTGTGGGGGAGGTGCGTGAGGCATTATGTAAAATGAAACGGGGTAAAGCAGCTGGAACTGACGGGATCATGACAGAAACGTTAAAAGCAAGGAGTGATATAGTGTTGGAGTGGTTGGTACTTTTGTTTAATAAATGTATGAAAGAGGGGAAGGTACCTAGGGATTGGCAGAGAGCATGTATAGTCCCTTTATATAAAGGGAAGGGGACAAGAGAGATTGCAAAAATTATAGAGGAATAAGTTTACTGAGTATACCAGGAAAAGTGTACGGTAGGGTTACAATTGAAAGAATTAGAGGTAAGACAGAACGTAGAATTGTGGATGAGCAAGGAGGTTTCAGAGTGGGTAGGGGATGTGTAGATCAAGTGTTTACATTGAAGCATACATGTATATGTGAACAGTATTAAGATAAAGGTAGGGAAGTTTTTATTGCATTTATGGATTTAGAAAAGGCATATGATAGAGTGGATAGGGGAGCAATGTGGCAGATGTTGCAAGTACATGTATATGAAATAGGTGGTAAGTTACTAAATGCTGTAAAGAGTTTTTATGAGGATAGTGAGGCTCAGGTTAGGGTGTTGTAGAAGAGAGGGAGACTACTTCCCAGTAAAAGTAGGACTTAGACAGGGATGTGTAATGTCACCATGGTTGTTTAATATATTTATAGATAGGGTTGTAAAAGAAGTAAATGCTAGGGTGTTCGGGAGAGGGGTGGGATTAAATTATGGGGGATCAAATACAAAATGGGAATTGACACAGTTGCTTTTTGCTGATGATACTGTGCTTATGGGAGATTCTAAAGAAAAACTGCAAAGGTTAGTGGATGAGTTTGGGAGTGTGTGTAAAGGTAGAAAGTTGAAAGTGAACATAGAAAAGAGTAAGGTGATGAGGGTATCAAATGATTTAGATAAATAAAAATTGGATATCAAATTGGGGAGGAGGAGTATGGAAGAAGTGAATGTTTTCAGATACTTGGGAGTTGACATGTTGGTGGATGGATTTATGAAGGATGAGGTTAATCATAGAATTGATGAGAAAAAAAGGCGAGTGGTGCGTTGAGGTATATGTGGAGACAAAAAAGTTATCTATGGAGGCAAAGAAGGGAATGTATGAAAGTATAGTAGTACCAACACTCTTATATGAGTGTGAAGCTTGGGTGGTAAATGCAGCAGCGAGGAGATGGTTGGAGGCAGTGGAGATGTCCTGTCTAAGGGCAATGTGTGGTGTAAATATTATGCAGAAAATTCGGAGTGTGGAAATTAGGAGGTGTGGAGTTAATAAAAGTATTAATCAGAGGGCTGAAGAGAGGTTGTTGAGGTGGTTTGGTCATTTAGAGAGAATGGATCAAAGTAGAATGACATGAAGAGCATTTAAATCTGTAGGGGAAGGAAGGCAGGGTAGGAGTCGTCCTCGAAAAGGTTGGAAGGAAGGGGTAAGGGAGGTTTTGAGGGAGAGGGGCTTGGACTTCCAGCAGGCGTGCATGAGCGTGTTCGATAGGAGTGAATGGAGACGAATGGTATTTGGGACCTGATGATCTGTTGGAGTGTGAGCAGGGTAATATTTAGTGAAGGGATTCAGGGAAACCGGTTATTTTTATATAGCCGGACTTGAGTCCTGGAAATGGGAAGTACAATGCCTGTACTCTAAAGGAGGGGCTTGGGATATTAGTAGTTTGGAGGGATATGTTGTGTATCTTTATACGTATATGCTTCTAAACTGTTATGTTCTGAGCACCTCTGCAAAAACAGTGATTATGTGTGAGTGAGGTGAAAGTGTTGAATGATGATGAAAGTATTTTCTTTTTTGGGGATTTTCTTTCTTTTTGGGTCACCCTGCCTCGGTGGGAGACGGCCGACTTGTTAAAAAAAAAAAAAAAAATGTATATGTAGTGTGACCTAAGTGTAAGTAGAAGCAGCAAGATGTACCTGAAATCTTGCATGTTTATGAGACAGAAAAATGGATATCAGCAATCCTGCCATCATGAAAACAATTACAGGCTTTTATTTTACATTCACTTGGCAGGACAGTAGTACCTCCCTGGGTGGTTGCTGTCTATCAACCTACTACCTACGATTAATATAAACATGAAATAATATATTAATTTTATAGAACAGAAACAAGTATTCCACCTGGAATACTCCCGACCACCTCCCAATGAGGCAGGGTAAATCACTGCCTTGCCAGAGGTGTACAGGTAGAACAGTTCAGATGTCCCTCTAAACAGCAAATATCCCTACCCCCTCCTATAGAGTGCAGGCACTATACTTCCCACCTGACTGGTTTCCCCGAATCCCTTCACAAAATTTTATCTTGCTCACTCCAACAGCTCATCAAAAACCATTTGTCTCCACTCACTCCTATCCAATACGCTCACATATGTCTCCTATACATCCTAACCCCTTTCACACGAAAACCTCCTTTAACCCCTCCTTCCATCCTTTTAGATTAACCCCCACCCCTCCTTCCCTCCACCACAGATTTATACCCCTCCAAGTCATCTTATTTTGCTCCATTCTCTCTAAATGACCAAACCACCTCAAAACCACTCCTCAGCCCTCTGAATAATACTTTTAGTAACACCGTACCTCCTGCTAGTCTCCATGCTACAAATTCTCTTAATAATATTTACACCACACATTGCCCTCAGACATGGCATCTCCACTGCCTTTAGCCTCCTCCTCACTGCAACATTCACAACCCATGCTTTGCACCCATGCAAGATCCTGCATCAGCGAGGTCAAAAGCTCAGTGCCCCAAGGAACTGTCCTGGCACCTCTGCTGTTCCTCATCCTCATAGCAGACATAGACAAAAACACCCGGCACACTTTTGTACCATCATTTCCAGATGACACTAAAATAAGCATGAAAGTCAGTACGGTAGAGGACACTGAAAAAGTACAGGAAGACATAAACAGGGTTTTCCAGTGGGCAGTGGAAAACAACATGACATTCAACGGTGATAAGTTCCAGCTGCTTAGGTATGGAAAGAATGAAGAACTCAAAAGGAGCACTATATACAAAACTCAAGAGGGTCACCAAATACACCGTAAGGAACAAGTAAAAGACCTAGGAATAATTATGTCAGCGGACCTTTCTTTTAAAGACCATAACAAGACAAAGATCACGACAGCAAGGAAGATGACGGGGTGGGTATTGAGAACTTTCAAAACAAGGGAAACAATGCCAATGGTGACACTCTTCAAATCGCTAGTGCTCCCTCACTTAGAATATTGCTCAGTGCTGACGGCCCTGTAAAGGGCAGGAGAAATATTGGAGCTGGAACAAATACAGAGATCGTTTATGGCTCACATTGAGCCAGTAAAGCACCTAAACTACTGGGAATGCCTGCAAGTCTTGAACATGTACTCATTGGAGCAGAGGAGAGAGAGGTACATGATAATATATACCTGGAAGGTACTTAAGGGCTTGGTCCCAAATCTGCACACTGCCATAACAACATACTGGAGTGAGAGATATGGGAGGAAGTGTAAAATAAACCCAGTGAGGAGCAGGGGTGCGGTGGGGACAATAAGGGAACACTGTATCAACATCCGGGGTCCCAGACTTTTCAACATCTTACCAGAAGATATCAGAAACACTGCTGGAACACGTGTTGAAGCCTTCAAGAGGAAACTAGACAAGTATCTTCACCAGGTGCCAGATCAACCAGGCTGTGATGGATATGTGGGGTAGCAGGCCTCCAGCAGCAACAGCCTGGTTGACCAGGCGAGCACCAGACGAGCCTGACCCATGGCCAGGCTCAGAGAGTAAATATACTCTCGAAATTCTTCAAAGGTACATATCAAAGGTATACATTCATACAGTCCCTCTTTGCCTCCATGGATAAAATTTTGTCTCCAAAGATACCTCGACATACCATACACTTTATCTATGTTCACTTTCAATATTAGAGCTATTTATACATTACACAAAATATCAGTTGTGAAACTCACCAGTTTCTTTAGTTCCACCATCCTTTGGCTGGGATCTTCAACTTTGCTTGCCTCAATAAATAACGGATAAAGTTCAATTGTAAACAGTGGATCAGGAAGTTTCTGGAAGAACTGCTTCAACATACTGGATATAACATTTACATCACACCATCTGCAATAAATAATATTGTAATTCAGGTACTGGGGAAAAAATAGTAGACTGTTAAGCAAAATTTTAGTATTCAACTGCTGACAGCTGATCTATTGATAGCATTAAATTTCCAGCAGAAAATTACCTGCAGTTGGTAAGTCATAATAGAATAGTTTCTGTGCAACCATATTGTAACCAACTGTCCTCAAGGCTTCAACCTTTCACTTGTATATATTCCATTTCTCCCATTCCAGGATGAAGGTTTCCTTCTAATCCCTCTCCTTATTATTATTATTTCTTTAAACAAGCGGCAGTCTCCCACCGAGGCAGGGTGACCCAAAAAGAAAGAAAATTCCCAAAAAGAAAATACTTGCATCATCATTCAACACTTTCACCTCACTCACACATAATCACTGTTTTTGCAGAGGTGCTCAGAACACAACAGTTTAGAAGCATATACGTATAAAGACACAACACAACAGCAGTCTCCCACTAAGGCAGTGTGACCGGAAAAAAGAAGAAACCAAAGTTTTTCTTCTTTTTACATTTAGTAATTTATACAGGAGAAGAGGGTTACTAGCCCCTTATTCCTGGCATTTTAGTGGTCTCTTATGACATGTATGGCTTATGGATGAAGGATTCTTTTCCACTTCTCAATGGAGATTTTTTTTTTTTTTTCAACAAGTCGGCCGTCTCCCACCGAGGCAGGGTGACCCAAAAAAGAAAGAAAATCCCCAAAAAGAAAATACTTTCATCATCATTCAACACTTTCACCACACTCGCACATTATCACTGTTTTTGCAGAGGTGCTCAGAATACAATAGTTTAGAAGCATACACATATAAAGATACACAACATATCCCTCCAAACTGCCAATATCCCATGGATGGGAAAATACTAAACCTGTAAGGGGTCATCCAGTGACTGAGGAATGGGAGGTAATTAGGTCTCATTGCTCCATCACCTTCAACTTTACACCTGTGTATACAGATGTTCCTACAAATTTATACAGTGTTGTGTTTCTAGAGGGCATGTGAAAGTACAAAGTGTGAATAGTACAAAAATACTGTAATTCTGAACAACAAATTCTGTTTGAGATCTGGGATCATCTTCTATTTCAGATAAAAAAAAAAAACAGACCTGGATGTGGGAAAGGCATTCTGCCAGAAAAAAATGTTGGATAAGTGAATCCATTGGCTCACCTTTCATCAGTATAACCAATGGATAATCAAGATTAGCAAATGTGGAACCCAGCAAATTTGGAGGATGATTGTACAGTACTCCAGGAGGAAGTGGAGAAGGATCCTTCCTCCGTAAACCACGAATATTGTAAGAGGCAACTAATATGCTGAGAACAAGGGGCTAGTAACCCCCTTCACTTGTATAAATTACTAAATGTAAAAAGAAAAACTTTCATTTTTCTTTTTAGATCACCCTGCCTCAGTGAGATATGCCCATATTGTCAAAAAAAAAAAAAACTATGAGAATGTTTCTTCCTTTTCAGGTCACCCTGCCTCAGTGGCAAATGACCAGTGTTTAAAAAAAAATTCTACAGTACTCTTCTTGCAGACCTTTCATCAACTCTACATTTTTAAGTCACTGAAAAATATTTTTCCTAACCCTACCTCTGAAATCCTTGGATTTTGCCATTGTTTATTATTTTCTCTATTCATTATTCATTTTCATCTACATATAGTATATTCTTCTTTCAACAAACCGGCCATATCCCACCAAGGCAGGGTGGCCCAAAAAGAAAAAGGAAAATTTCTGTTTTTAAAGTTAGTAATTTATACAAGAGAAGGGGATACTAGCCCCTTGCTCCCGGCATTTTAGTCACCTCTTATAACACGCATGGCTTACAGAGGAAGAATTCTGTTCCACTTCCCCATGGAGATAAGAGGAAATAAACAAGAACTAGAAAGAAAATAGAAGAAAACCCAGAGGAGTGTGTATATATATGCTTGTACATGTATGTGTAGTGTGGCCTAAGTGTAAGTAGAAGTAGCAAAACGTACCTGAAATCTTGCATGTTTATGAGACAGAAAAAAAGACACCAGCAATCCTACCATCATGTAAAACAATTACAGGCTTTTGTTTTACACTCACTTGGCAGGACGGTAGTACCTCCCTGGGTGGTTGCTGTTTACCAACCTACTACCTACATATAGTACAGTGGACCCCCGCCTTACGATCAGCTCCCAGCTCGACCAATTATGTAAGTGAATTTTTGTAAGTGCTTTTGTATGTGTATTTTTGGGGGTCTGAAACGAACTAATCTAATTCACAATATTCCTTATGGGAACAAATTCGGTCTATAACGGCACCCGAACAGACTTCTGGAATGAAATAATATTGTAAGGCGGGGGTCCACTGTATATGCATTACTCAAATAAATCATACTAAAAGTCATAATACTCAATGAGTCAATTTTTCTCCTGTGTTAATGTCCTAGTTCTTCATGATAAGAATGACGGTATAGTAATTCTTACAAGTATGCAGTATCCAAACTCACACTTAAGTGAAATTAATAATAATAATTTTTTTTAACATGTTTAAATGGTTTAAATCTGTCTCATTCAACGATGTCCAGATGACAAATTTAACAAAAATTTTAAACTTCCTTTGCCTGACTAAATTCATAATTGAGCTAATGTAATATTACACAACTTTTTCTACAAAGCAATGTACACAAAATAATGGTATAAAAATATTATAGTCTTACCTTGGATCATCATAGTCAATTGATTTGGGATCTTTGTTTATCATCTCACTTAAGTGGGTGACAGCTGCTTTGTTACCAGGAATGCGGTAAATGCCTTGCGTCTGCAAGCCTCGACTTTCTACTACATTTATACACAGAGCAACAAGCAGTGGCACGTATTCGTTCTCAAGTGACTGTAAATAAAGATAAAGCAATGAGGAATCAAATGAACATTTATACAAATTAAGCAACTGCTGTATGGATATCTCTCAATGTGCATTTTTATCATAACACCTATATAAACTTTTTATAAAGAACAAAAAGGTACAATACCGTGGCTGAACAATACATAAATAATCCACATGTAGGAGAAACTTACGATGACATTTCCATACTAATTAATGGTTCAAGTTGAACCGAAACATCGTCATAAGTGTCTCCTATGTACAGGTTATTTGTGTATAAATTTTGTATATTCTTTACATTACTGTATTATTATAAAGCAGCATTTTGTTTTTCGCTTCATCTTACTATATCTCTGGTGTTTTGCAGTCTCTCTCTACCCACATCTCAAGGGCTTAATAAGCTTATCAATCTATATCTCTGATGCCTAACAATCTCATTTAGCAGCACCTATATCTTACAATATATTGTCTTGATTTTTCCTTGAAGCCATTTTATTTACTTAGGGTTACAGGTCCTCTATTTTGCATTAGAGGCCTGCACTCTGAAGGAAGGGTGAGGATGTTGCAGTCAGAGGCTCATCTGAACTGTGATGTCAGGAAACATCTAACAAGACAGTAACTGAATGAATGATGGTGAGTGTTTCTTTTTTGGGTCACAGTTAAGATTACAAAATTAAAATTCCTAGTTAAGATTCTAATATCAGTCAAGATAATTAACAGCTCTTAATTCTGCAAAAATATACAGATAAAACTCCCCCATCATTACTCATGTATTCTTCCAGTGTTCAATATTAAAAAGTAAGTACGTATAGTCACAATATATAATAAATATAATGGGTTTTGCCTTCAGCAGTCCTGCTGTACAACTACAGAGGACAATGGTCATATACAAAATAGCTAGAAATATTATATTACCGGAGGGCACTCCTCTAGACAGACCCCAATGGTCGCTCCCTCTGGCAGTGGCATGGTTGGAGTGATAGCTGGAGACCCACTGTGAACTTTCTTCATAAAAGGCCTCTTTAAATGACCTCTCCACGTTTTTGATTTTGGTGAAGAATTGCTCTCTGAAAAAACATATGCTGTCAATAAAATGAAAAAAATCCAACATTAGGACACAGCATTATATTTCAACTTAAATATTAAATCATATAAATATCACATCAGAATTCTTCCTCCATAAGCCATTCATGTCATAAGAGGTGACTAAAATGCCAGGAGCAAGGGACTAGTAACTCCTTCGCCTGTAAACATTACTAAATTTATAAAGAGAAACTTCGTTTTTCTTTTTGGGCCGCCCTGCCTCAGTGGGATACGGCTGGTGCATTGAAAGAAAAAAGAAAAAATACCATTTATTTTTTTATTATCACACTGGCTGATTCCCACCAAGGCAGGGTGGCCCGAAAAAGAAAAACTTTCACCATCATTCACTCCATCACTGTCTTGCCAGAAGGGTGCTTTACACTACAGTTTTTAAACTGCAACATTAACACCCCTCCTTCAGAGTGCAGGCACTGTACTTCCCATCACCAGGACTCAAGTCCGGCCTGCCGGTTTCCCTGAACCCCTTCATAAATGTTACTTTGCTCACACTCCAACAGCACGTCAAGTATTAAAAACCATTTGTCTCCATTCACTCCTATCAAACACGCTCACGCATGCCTGCTGGAAGTCCAAGCCCCTCGCACACAAAACCTCCTTTACCCCCTCTCTCCAACCTTTCCTAGGCCGACCCCTACCCCGCCTTCCTTCCACTACAGACTGATACACTCTTGAAGTCACTCTGTTTCGCTCCATTCTCTCTACATGTCCGAACCACCTCAACAACCCTTACTCAGCCCTCTGGACAACAGTTTTGGTAATCCCGCACCTCCTCCTAACTTCCAAACTACGAATTCTCTGCATTATATTCACACCACACATTGCCCTCAGACATGACATCTCCACTTCTACCATATGAAGAAAATTATGCAAAGATGTTTTGAACGCCTCAAAATCTGAATATCCTACATTTCTTTTTTTTTTTTAACAAGTCAGCCATCTCCCACCAAGGCAGGGTGACCCAAAAAGAAAGAAAATCCCCAAAAAGAAAATACTTTCATCATCATTCAACACTTTCACCACACTCACACATAATCACTGTTTTTGCAGAGGTACTCAGAATACAAGTTTATAAGCATATACGTATAAAGATACACAACATATCCCTCCAAACTGACAATATCCCAAACCCCTCCTTTAAAGTGCAGGCATTGTACTTCCCATTTCCAGGACTCAAGTCTGGCTATATAAAAATAACCGGTTTCCCTGAATCCCTTCACTAAATAATTACCCTGCTCACACTCCAACAGCTCGTCAGGTCCCAAATACCATTCGTCTCCATTCACTCCTATCTAACACGCTCACGCACGCTTACTGGAAGCCCAAGCCCCTCACCCACAAAACCTCCTTTACCCCCTCCCTCCAACCTTTTCGAGGACGACCCCTACCCCGCCTTCCTTCCCCTACAGATTTACATGCTCCCCATGTCATTCTACTTTGATCCATTCTCTCTAAATAACCAAACCACCTCAACAACCCCTCTTCAGCCCTCTGACTAATACTTTTATTGGCTCCACACCTCCTAATTTCCACACTCTGAATTTTCTGCATATTTACACCACACATTGCCCTTAGACAGGACATCTCCACTGCCTCCTCACTGCAGCATTTACAACCCAAGCTTCACACCCATATAAGAGTGTTGGTACTACTATACTTTCATACATTCCCTTCTTTGCCTCCATAGATAACGTTTTTTGTCTCCACATATACCTCAACACACCACTCGCCTTTTTTCCTTCATGTCACTATCAAATACAATTCCTTAGCAGGATAGAACAATCTTGTGTTTATCTTCAATACCCCTTTTCTTATTTTCAGGAAAAGATGAAAGAGTGTAGTTTGAAAATGAGTTAAAGACACAGTACTGTACTAAAAATAATGCAATTAATAACAAATCAAACCCCTTCTTCTATATACATTACTAAATTTAAAAAGAAACTTTCACTTTTCTTTTTGGGTCGCCCTGCCTTGGTGGGATACGGCCGGTATATTGAAAAAAATCTATGAAATTAAAAGCATTTTGTAAAAAATAAATGGTACAAGATTTAAAGAGTAATAAAATCAAGAAAAATACATCTAAGAACGTATGCATGTTCTTAACATGAAGTACCCACCAACACTACTGGGTTTGCGTGCTTTTGTTGATGGAGACTGGCCAGTGGGGGAGCGTGTTCTTAGAGATGTCAGCTTCCTCATTGCTTTATTGCTGGATTGTGGAGATATGTTGTTGTTGTTTATGGGGGTCTTGCTGCCTGCTTCTCCTTCCTAAAACAAAACAATATAAATAGATACACTCCATGGGGAAGTGGAGAAGAATCCTTCCTCCATAAGCCATGAGTCGTAAGAGGCGACCAAAATGCTGGAACAAGGGGGTAGTAACCCCTCCTCCTGTATAAATTATGAAATGTGAAAAGGCAAAACTCATTTCTTCTTTTTCAAATCACCCTGCCTTGTGGAAGATGGCTGGTGTGTTAAAAAATGCACTGTGAACAGTAACTCTAAACATCAGACGAACATTCATGGAATTACTGTTTGGGAAATAATGGTTCATTTGTAAATGTACAGAATCACTGTATATAAAATAAAACCAACTCGAAAGCTACTGTGCCAAAATACAACTTAAACAATCAGAGAATTAACTGGGATAAAATAATTATCAAACACGTCCAGGGAAACAATCTTGAGTACCCTAAATTCTCAACAGTTCATGGAAAAGCTAACTACAGGAGCATACAAAGTGTGTATTAAGAATATTTTGCTGAAAGCTTACAAGATTATACAGGCAGGCCCAGCTTTACAGTGCTTCATTTTATAGTGTTTCGCTAATGCAGCAGTTTTCAATTATACCCATCCTTCATTTATTCAGAATTCCTACAATAAATATTCACCACTCACTATAAGCTAAGGACAAAAATATTTTAAGGTTAGTAATGTGTGTACTGTATATGCATTTTTCAGGTCTACCTCTGTTACTTACTTAATATATGATAGTGTAAACATGTTACTGGGCTTTTATATGCATTCGAAAGTGAAAAAAGGCTATGTTTCACTTTACAGCAGTACCCCAGAACCTAACCTGCTGTATAAGTGGGGCCCTCCTGTACAGAGAACAGGAACACTATCATCATAACCCCCACTTTTATCCACCACCACAACCATCGACAACAGGATAAGTGGGAAAATTCACATACAATTTTCTAACAAATAGGAAACCAAAGACAGAATAAATAAGATAAAAATTTTAAGTGGTAGATTCAACATATAAAGGATCACTTACAAGGATCATTTAAGAATTAGCTAAAGATGAGTGAAAGATGATGAAAAGATAAAAGAAACCCCTGGGCCTGGGGAGTGGGAGGGAGGAAGAGAGGGGCATAGGGAGAGGAGGGAGGTAGAGAGGGGGCAAACGGAGAGGAGGTACTGAGGTGGCAGAGGGGGATGGATGGAGGAAAGAGATGGAGAGATGACATTACCGGAGCGCTAAACCCTTAAGGATCACAGCACCAGGTAACCTTTGAGGTTTCTTGGGAAGGTGTGTGTGTGTGATATATATATATATATATATATATATATATATATATATATATATATATATATATATATATATATATATATATATATATATATATATATATATATATATATATATATATATATATATGTCGTGCCGAATAGGCAGAATTTGCTATCTTGGCTTAAATAGCAACGTTCATCTTGCCATATAGGACAAGTGAAAATTTGTGTATGCAATAATTTCGCCAAAATCATTCTGAACCTAACGAAAAAAATACATTTGACTGTGTTTGTTTAGTATTAAATTACTGTAAACAAATCTAATATATATTTAGTTGGGTTAGGATAAAATAAATTCCTCTTGTTATAATAAGGTTAGGTAAGTTTTCTAAGATTCTCTTGGTGCAAAATTAAAATTTTTTACGTTAGCATTATGAAAAAAATATATCTTTAAACGTATAAGAGAAAATTTTAGAAAGGACTTCATTTTAAATGAGTTCTTGCTAATTGACCAGTTTTACATATTCGGCACGACATATATATATATATATATATATATATATATATATATAATATATATATATATATATATATATATATATATATATATATATATATATATATATAATATATATATATATATATATAAAGTTCGGGGAGTCGTGGGGCGGAGGCATCTGGGTTGGGAAACAAGCCCTAGACCTACCTGTAAGGCACAATTATTCTGGAGGGTGGAGAGCCAGGCCAACATCTCTGGTGGAGTGTCAGCCTGGAGCAGCAGCTGGGAGCCGCCAGGGGTGGCCAGACGCAGCACATTTCGTCTCTTGGTGTAGTCACTGGCAACGTCAACCTCAGCACCTCGCAGAGTTACCTGCTCCTCCACTCCCAATGGTGTCTGCAAGGACAATGTCATTGTTTAATATAAATCAGGCGAGTTAAAATTAAGGTCATTACTGAATGGAATAAGACACAATACACAAATAACCCGCACATAGGAGCTTACGACGACGTTTCGGTCCGACTTGGACCATTTACAAAGTCACATTAACAAAAAGGAGAGAAGGAGGGAGTACACATGAGCCAGCAGACAGGGATGGGGCAAAAGAGGGAGTGGGAAAGGAAGAAGAGAGGTGATAGCAGTAGTAGTGGTGGATTCAGTCAAAGACTAAGAAAGAGGAGCACTGCAAGGGAGCTACGAGCCCAGACAGGGTAGGAACAAGAACACAGAGGGGGGGATTAATAATGCACCAAACACCCTAGGCAGAAGAAAGAAAACCCAAAGGAGAAAGAGGAAAGGGAGAGAAGGAGAAAGGGAAAAAAAGAATCAGGTTAAGTCACGAGTGTTCTGAAGTTTGGAGCATTTTACAATGTAATGGGAAAGGAAGGCATCTACAGAGACAAAGGGAAGTTGTGTATAAGGGAGGATTCAACCAGACGGCGACTGTGAGAGTTAGAAGTAGGGTAGACAGTTTTAACAGAAGACCAGTCAAAATCTACACCTGGAATACTCTGGAGGAATTGGTCCAAAACCTACACACCAAAATCACTTCACGTGGATGGAAGCTTGGCAGACGGTGCAAGATACAATGAAAAGTAGGAGCGTAATGAGATCGTACACAAAAAGAGAACTAAGTGTAAAGGGATCACGACTCTTCAACCCCCTGCTATCGTGCATAGGGGAATTACCATCAAACCCCTACCTGGAGTCTACCTGGAGGATATTCCGCGGATCAACGCCCCCGCGTCCCGGTCCATGACCAGGCCTCCCAGTGGATCAGGGTCTGATCAACGAGACTGTTACTGCTGGCCGCACACAACATACGAACCACAGCCCGAATGATCCGGCACCGACTTTAGGTATCTGTCCAGCTTCCCCTTAAAAAGGAAATTCGACAAGTTCCACAAGTAAGTTCCTAAGCAGCTGGACTGTGGTATATGAGTGATGGGTAACAACAGTGATTGATCTGGACTGAAGTCCTGGTCTGGGACCGGGTCGCGGAGGAGGTGACCTCGGAAGCAACTGCAGATAAATCTAGAGGCACTCTTGAAACCCACAACGCAAAAAGTCAATATGAAGAAACATCCTGTTTATATACCGTTCAGTTTACAGGCTACAAGAGCTACATACAATCTTACCTCAAATCATTTCAAAATTAAATCCTAAGTATACCACCTACTCCCCTGGAGTATCTATCTACTACTAGAAGAAAAGAGTCAGGTGTAAGGAGATTAAGACCTAATATCCTGTTTTCAGTTAGATGAACTGAGACTACAGGTGTAAGGAGACTAGCACACAACTAGATCAAAGTATGTATATAAAACGGAAAAGGTGGTGAACAGGGTATGTGCAACACCTGCGTGTTTTTATTTAAATAAAATTACCTCAAAATAACTACCTTTCCACTTCTGGTGTCTATAACATTATTATCACTTTTGTAATCAATCGATGAAGCCTGTTGTGCCAGCAATGAAGATACCTAGTGATGTGGACTGAACACATCGACGCCAGATTGAGGGACTGATTACCTCAAACTCTTCATCTTCCACCGTTCTTCTCCGTATTGGACTGAAAAAGCCACTAGCTGGCAAAACGTTTCCCCACTAAATTATTATAATCAAGGGCGAAGCGCTAAATCCGTAGGATTATACAGCGCCTGGGGGGGGGGATGGAAGGCATTCAGGCTTAATTCGGGGAACTGGAGCACAGATCCATTTCCCTAAATCAAGAGCCCCTCACCAACATCAAGGAACCTTCCCTGAGGGGTTCCCCAATAAAGATACACAAATTTTGCAAAAAGTCTCATTCTTCATACCTAGTACTACACAAAGTCTTAATCAGGCGGCATTGTCACCCACCACAGAGCTGTAGTGTAGTATTTGGCAGCTGTTTTGCTTTAATTTAACCCATACAAGGATGTATATTAACAAGTGCGTAAATGTTAGTATACCAGATAAACAACGATATTACGGTAATCAAGATTGTATAACAGGCACACACTTATCAATTACTGCTTGCTGCAGTAAATATTTGTAACACTGCTGAAATGAGGTCAAGATACCATCAATATTTACTGCTGTTAGATATGTTCTATATATACATTGTTCTAAGTTCTTGTCCTATTTTCTGCTGTTAGATATGTTCTAAATTCTCACTGTTGTCCTAGGTTCTGGTCTCTACTTAGTAATAATGGTAGAATTACCCACAAAATGTTAGGTAAATGGACACAGATGCAACTAATGTAACATTTTATTGTGGCAACGTTTCGCTCGAAGCTTTGCCAATCCGGCTTGACAAAGCTCTTAGAGAGCGAAACGTTGCCACAATAAAATGTCACATTAGTTGCATCTGTGTGTATTTACCCAAGTCTCTGCTAACTGTGCTAGGTTCTTGTCCCGAGCAGCTGCTGTAAGAGACGCTCTAGTCTGGGTACACATTTTAGTAGGCTACCCGCAAGAGACCTAAGCTAATATTTATTTGTAATTAATTTTTATCTCTAGTTACGACCCCTTCCTGCCTTCCTTCCTTCCTTCCTTGGATAAGACATGATTGCCTTCCCTTTTCCCAGGCGTTGCATGACCCCAATGAGTTTACTGCTTTCCATAGATATAATACAAAAATAAAATAACAATAGGTAATACCACATTTGACCACCCAAACAAGCCAAATTTTATCTAATGAATATGCTCATTGTAATTAGTGTGTGTGTGTGTGTGTGTGTGTGTGTGTGTGTGTGTGTGTGTGTGTGTGTGTGTGTGTGTGTGTTTGTATGTATGTATGTATGTATGTATGTATGTATATATATATATATATATATATATATATATATATATATATATATATATATATATATATATATATATACTAAAACGTTTGATAAATTAGACACTTGTGCAACACTTGAGTGTCTTCATTGTGGAAAAATTTCGACTAATTTATCATGCTGTCTCTCTGCACCATTTAGCTACAAAAGATTGATGCTGGTAGCCCTTGCTGAACAGACACAGTCCATCACTCCTGTCTGTAATTGGGGAAGTAGGAATTACTGGAGACCTGATCGGCGTATTTTTTTTAAGGTAAAGTAAGGTTACATAAATACAAAATTGACATTTAATTGTAAATAACCCCTCAAGGGAGGTTCCTTGACACTGATGAGGGGCTCTTGATCTAGGGAATTGGATCTGTGCCCCAGTTCGCTGAACTGAGGCTGAATACCCTCCATCCCCCTCACATGCGCTGTATAATCCTACTAGTTTAGCGCTCCCCATGATTATAATAATAATAATTGCAAATAAGCAGTTTTACAAACTTGAGACGTTTGGCAGTGGGATGTCTGGCAAACGTACTCGACGTTTAATGTACGGACGAATTATGACATTAATTTATAGTTTAAGGACTGTGTTCGTGATAGGAAGAAAACTGATATTTAAAACAATAAACTGAGTATAATTTACTAAAATTACGTAAATAAAACAAATATTAAATGAAAAAAATCGGTCATCTTAAAAGTACTCAGGAGCAAATATTACATATTACAAATTTTACAACTTGATCTGTGGAGACGCGAGGAAGATGTCCATATCATATCAAAGTAGTTTACATATGTTAGAACTTACCCAGGAGCCATATGAAGAGATGCTCCAGAAGCGTGGTATACGACCATTGGCAGCCACTGCTGATACCGGGACACAAGCCATCTTCATTTTTTTTTATTTTTAGGTGGTGCACGCCTTATTTCAAGTGTTCTGACAAAATGGCCATTGTGCGGCAATATTGCGGGTGGCTATATACAAGGCAGGTCGATGCTGCTACCTCGACTGGGTAACCCAGACAAGAGGCAGGAAACTGATGCACGAGGTGGTATCAACTTCAAGTTTGTGGGCAATAATGATGAGTGATATTGGTGCTAACATTAGTGACCTGGGGTGTGTTGTAAGTGCTACGTGTTCGTGCTGGAGTGTGATGAGCGCTGAACACACCATCTTATCAGAAGCGGAAGCTTGCTACACTCCGGCCAGCCACAGCCTCACCTCCATTATTTTCCCCACACGCATGCATCTTGCACCAAGTGGTCACACCCTCTGTACACTTCCACTTACACCATCTCAAGTTCACAACCAGTATAAATTCGGCGCTTCACTAAAACATGATTTCTAATAATTTTAGTAATATAAGCGAGGTCTTCATTCTTAAATATATAACCACAAAAATCACTTTATCAAATTTCTTCCGTAACCTATATTTACATAATTTTCTTGGTCCAATTAACATTAAATTAAATTTCTCTAGCGCATGTTTTCATTTTTTTTCACTATGCAAAGATGGCAAATTAATTGCATACAATTTTTAATAAATACAAACCTGAAAATAAATGCTACTGCTTTAAATGTCTCGAGCGGTTAAGTTTATTATCAAAATTACAAAGAAAATGCTTACAGATGGCCATAATTTTTAAAAGGGTCAAATAACCAAGAGTTGCAGTGGTGGGGTCGTCATCTGACTAAGACCCGCGCCAGGAAACACTTGTCCTGTTTCCTGACAAACCTTACTTAACCTAACCTATCAACATTATATACCATCAGAATGTTATATATAACGAAGTAAAGAACTAATCATATTTACCCTAACAAGCCCACCACACAGGATAATTTCTCAGGTTATATTTCATCATAAAAGACTGGTGTTATACACTAGGAAAGATAAAATATATCTGCCTTAGCTGGGAGATATCAACAGGGCAACAAGGATAGTGGAACATACCGCTATGGGTTCAAGGTTAGCTAAGGCAGCTTTAAAAGTTTCCTCCGAACAGTTAAAAGTTTTGTATTAATAAAATCTTATACACGATAGAGTGGGAAGTTAGAAATGAGACGAGTGGGTGGGTGGGCACTGGAGTG